ATTTGCACAACGAAATAACGCTGAAATACAGAATAAGAGGACAGGCAAAGAGAAATCTCGATGTGCATTTGCTTGATTACGCAGAGAAATCCTGCGGCTTACTAGGCTTTAAATAGAATAATTCAAATGAAATAAATAGGTAAAGATATCTGAAATTATTTCTACAGGATTGTTTAAACGAAATTAACATACATGCGCACTGGTCTGGCCGGCCGCGCTCCTGTTTAGCAGTTAAATAGCAATTAAATTACAGCGCATTCTCTGTTTTATCCAAATTGTTTGTTTTAAAACAAGTATTCCGTAGTTTAGTATCCGCACATTGTTTTAGTATACATTTTTTTAAAACATATATTGTGGCAGTCATAAGGAGCACACACGATTGACTGTAAACACGTCTTTATTCCACGACTGCCGACAAGTGGATCTATTCTGAACAAGGACAGAATAGTGTCCACCATAATATTTATTAAAAGAAAAATAAATAAAAGTCTGCGAGAGAGAAGCTCGACCCGAACCTGTTTTACTTCCGCATTCCTGTCGTTTTGGTCCGGAGCAGAAATTGCACGTGTGACCGCAAGTGGAGCTGCTTCGACGCTGCGCCGGAGTTGTCACGCTCAGCGGCTTTGCACGTGTGAACGCTCCACAAAATTTGCTCCGGTGTAAAATACATCGCAACAAAATATTTCGGTGCAGCGTCGGACCAAATGTGTGCCGTGTGAACAGGGCTATCATTTCAAATGGGAAGAGCTCAGTCACCCTGTTGCTCCCAACTGTGGCAAACACCAGCGGGTCTCCCTCCTTACTGTGCCAGTTGAATTGGACTCCGAAAAGAGGCTGGCCATGGTCTTCCTGCAATAATCATTGCATTTCAGGTTAGAGTGTCAGCATAAAGATGAGGGTTTGGGAATTAGCAAATGAATGTGTGTGTTCGCTCTCACCCGCAAGCTGTTGACGCACTTGAATGAGTATCTGCACTTTTTGGACTTCCATTTGCCTTTGCCCCAACTCTTCCTGCCTGGGGCGTTGGAGGTGTTGGTGGGCGTGTCAGGGCGTTCAGCATTGGTGCCACTTTCAACACTGACAGCATCATCCTAATACACGACACAAAATTAAACAAAATCAGCTTTCAACAAACAGCAGCTCAACTAAAGCTGCCGGGTATTACTTAGGTTAAAATTGCACCCTAAATGCAGAACGACGAATGACGTTTCACATAAGTCGGTCAAGTACATATATTAATTAATTTGAATGGTCATTCGTTTTTGTTAGAGCTGACTAGAGTATTAACTTGTGCTAAGAGCTTCAGCTACTAACGTTGTTCATTTGATTAACAGCGGAAGCAGAGAGTGAGTCCCTTAGGAACTAAACGTAATTCGTTCTGTTTTTGACACATGTTGGTAAGAGTGACCACATAAACTAAGTTACTCCCAATTAACTCGCCAGTTACTACTTGAACAAAGCGTCAAGCTAGCAGATGTTCATGCTCGGCTACTTCAGCTAACTAGGGTGCTAACTAGGCTCACTGCTCACACGATTTAACCTCATGTCGATGGAGAATCACAACAACATTTCATCACTTACGTTCTCGTCCCCTGACAAATCTGGGTTACTGTTCTCATCACTGCTGAGCTTATGTTTCTTGAGCGCTACTTCTTTTCCCGCTTGAGACAGGGACTCAGACATGTTCTTATTTTCCCTCATGTTGATGTAACTCCGCCTTTTCCGTCCAGCGGCCTCAGCCGCCGCATGGGCTGCTGGGAATAGTAGTTCAAATCCAACTCGTGAAACGAGCACTGAGACGCATGGGAAAAAAAATGCTGGTCACGTTTGATTTTTTAAATCGAGGTTTGGTCGAGTGTGCAAAAGATTTAGGCCATCTTTAGATTCGTTGTTTTAATTAGTTGTACCACAACAGTCATTTTTAAATGTTAAAAATGTCAAATTCATAAAATCTATTTTTAATTTTAACACTTAAGCCATAGCCCTGCGATTGGCTGGCGACCAGTTCAGGGTGTCCCCCGCCTACTGCCTGAAGACAGTTGGGATAGGCTTCAGCACGCCCTGCAACCCTTGTGAGGATAAGCAGATTAGAAAATGGATGGATGGATGGACTTTAGCCAGATAAAATATTGGATGCAACCTTTTTAGAAATGCACAACTCACCTTTATATATGATACATTTATTTAAAAAAGAAAAGAAAAAGCTTTTACAATTGTGGCATTGATGCAAAGTCTACAGTATCATCTCTTCATCTTCCAAGTTGGCCTGGTTCATCTCCTCAGACTGTTCTTGATCATCATCATTGTCATCATCATCATCATCAGCATCATCATCATCATCCTGGCTATTCTCCTCCTCCTGCCCTAATGCCCTCTTCATGCCCCTCTGCTTGGACAGGGCCACAGCATAGTGGATGTTGTACAGGTTGAAGTCACAGCTGAAGAATGAAATCAAGGACAAATCATAATCAGTTTTCAGATTTAAATCAATTTGGAATTTTATAGACCAGGGGCATCACAGTCACTTCTATCGCAGGCCACAGTGCAGTCATAGCTTCTCAAAGAGAGCTGGTATGAGTGAGTGAGTGAGTGTGTGTGTGTGTGTGTGTGTGTGTGTGTGTGTGTGTGTGTGTGTGTGTGTGTATTTATGTTAAATCACCTCAATGTATTATGTATACACAGTGGCCCGTGTATTTGTTATTATAAATATTTTGAACAATGTATTACGTTTCCAATCCGAAGTAATGGAATTTAGTGACAACTACATATGCATTCTATTGTTCAATTCAATTTTTATTAAGGTATTTGGTGTGAACAAATCTTTGTAAAATCCGCAAAAATTGAAGACGATTGCAAACTTTGGTACAGGTTTCTGCTCAAATGAAAAAGATATATTTGAAAAAAAATTATTTAGCAAGAACCACGAATGAGATACTGAGATACATTTAATTTGTTTTGGCGGGCCAGAAAGAAATTGATGGGGTGAGCGATCTGGTCCCGGGGCCTTGAGTTTGACACATGTTGACGACAAAAGGGGGATGATAATGATGATTAAGTTGATTATTATAATGATGAGACTTACAGTTTGGCCAGGTTGTCCCAGTGTCTCTGGATGCTCTTCTGCAAAGCTTGCAATGTGGGCAGTATGGCTGCTGATCTACACATCAAACACTACTGTGAGATCTTGTACTGCACTCTGCATTCAACTGAATTGAGAGCGGGAGCAAACCTGTTCTTGAGCTTTTGTCCATGCAGCATGAGCAGGCTCTGAGCCCAAGTCATGTAGAACTGCAAGTGACCCGACTTCTCCAAACATGCTGCCACGAAGCCCAGCAACTTCTCCACATAAATGTCAGGGAGTGTCCCACAAACGACTGGAACTGGAAGAGAAAACATATTGTCACATTGCACACAATACAGCTGTGGAGCTGCCCACTTGAAATTTGTTTTACATTCCTATATTTATAGTTTAATCTGTAAATATACCACAAACATTGATCCAAAGCACTAAAAAAAAACGACACACTATTATTTTACTCTTAACAATAAATGGATTTATATATTATTTGATTTACAAAAAAATACACCGAAAGTGAATATGTACATGCTCATTTTGAGAAGACACTCTACAACTTCTCTTAACAACCCTGGTTAAATGTAGCTTCTCCCTTGCATAAAAAGTCTCTCAGTTGAGATTTATCACTGTAACACACTTCCTTGACATCAATTACTACATTACTGTTTGCTAGGGTTTGGTACAATCTTGTGGCCAGTAGAGTGTAAAAATAAAAGGCACCAAAAAATGCAAACAAATGAATTTGATAATAGCAAGCACGGCTAGGCAGAGGTCAAAGTAGTTCACTCACTCTGCTCGTGTGGCACCGTCTCTAGCACCTCCTGTTTGAGAGCCTTTTCATTGAGTCGGAATGCCAAAACGATGGCAGCCGCCCACTCCTGATGCCGCAACTGTTTGCGTATGCTGGCCGGCGTTACGTCTAAATCAAGGTCATAGGGGTCAAAGACCAAAGATCCGTCGAGAGAGTAGATGAGCAGGCCTTCGGTGGTTGTGGCTGCCCAACTGCACCCTGAAAAGGGAAGTCAAGACAAACCACGTCAAAGCCTAGATTTCCCCCCCCCCGATATATCTTTTTAAACACATTTTATTTATATGTCTTCTGTCACATACCTGTTGGAGAGAAGCGCAACGAACTGACTCGGATCTCAGGCTTAAAGTGTCTGGAACTCATATCACCTTGGGGGTGCAGACAAAATTTTCAAATTGTATCTACATACACATTAACGTCACAAATAAGAAGGAGTTCCACCAAAGCCGAACAATCATGCCAGATAGTGGTAGATTCTTCCCTTCCAGGTAGTTCTGGGGACTACGACCATGAGCCACTTAGCAGCTCGCCACCTGGTTTTAAATAAGTCAGCATAGGGTCAAATAACATGCCTAATGTCAATCCATCCCTTATCTGAACCGCTTGTCATGGTGTTTTTATAACAATGCACTTCACCGCTCATTTTTACAAGAGAAAACGTGACTTATGAGTTCAATTCGTTGAGTGACCAAGCTTGCTGATGTTTTCACCTTTTCCTCAGAAGAAACCAAGCAGGAAGCTGTGCTGACTACTCGAGGGACTGGTTCCATCACTCTTATAATCTCTAAGTCCCGTACTGCATTTCAAATCAATATTCCCCTTTGAAATGAAGTGAAATGCCATCAACTCATTCCAGTCCCTCAAAAAACACCAATATATTTCTTTTGCGTTCTTCTAAAACAAAATAGCATTGTATTTTATTTTAAAAAAAACATGCTGTGTTTGAACTGATGTCCATGGAGATATTAGTGCACATCAATAAAACCAGAGCTCTCAACTACTTCATTTTGTCTCTTTTAGTTAATGGTGAGAGATGGGGTAGACCCACGATAGATTATGCAACCATCATTGTCAGAGATGATGTCAACAATGTGTCTTGGTAAGCGAGGTAATCAAAGCCGACATCTTACCCCTCTTCACTCCAGGGAGACTAATGCTGACCCCGTCTTTGTCACCGGCTCCCTCGTCCACCAGAGCGAGGCTGCCAAACTCCGTCATCTTACGTCGGTCCAGGAACTCCTGAAGGTAGGATACGAGCACTTCCGTCAAACACCAGTGCTCTCATATCAGCCTCAGCAAATCTTCCATGCTGCTAAATGTGCAGTCAGACCTCCATGGCGTCAAAGGACAAGTTGCACGAGATCTCAAACTTCTTCAAGAGCATCTGTTCCTTGACATTGTAGATGCAGACAAACTTGGATTGGCCACCACTTAGAATGGAATCCCCGTCAGCAGAGTAACACAGTGATGTGAAGCACCTAGATGCGGCACAAGTGACATTTTAGCATTCTCTGGGGGAGCGTGACTTGAAGAAGGGATGCGGTCTAGTCATTCACTTGGCCTTGGACAACTGCTTGGCGGTGACTTTATCAGACTCTTTGCGGCCCATCTCCAGGTCATGACATCCTGCCACTGAGCTGACCTGTGCCGCCGTGTTGGGGTTCCAGAAAGAGATTTCTCCATTCAGCGTGGCCACTGCCAGCTCTTGACCATCAGGGCGGTAAGTCACTGACAAAGCTGAAGTGACCAAACAAAATAATAAGGAAGCAAATAACAAATGAAGAGTTTTTATTTAACCTTCTTGTCCCTCTGTCGAGTCATCAGTGTCTCCCTTCCTTATTTTGTAACCATTTTAGCGGTGTTAATGCAAATGTAATAAAACCTTTCCAGCGGTGGGCATTTTTGTCTTAATTTGTCGGCTCCAACTTCAGCTTTTTTTTTAATATATCATAAATTTGTCAAAGGATATCAAAATTCCACATAAATAGCTGAAGTGGAACCTTATTCGGAAGAAAAGTGTGGGCAGTAGAAGAGGTCATCTTGACTTGACTTTTGTAATCAATTCATTTTTTTAACTGAATGTATTTGTTATGGAAGGAAACTGATGTGCTTATTCCATGTATCTCTAAAAAAAAAATAAAATACACAAGGACGGTTGCTTCTTCTCACATTGCTATTTTACGCTAATAACAATTATTGATACTAGTTAAAAACGCTGTACAGTAAAAGAAGCAAAAATATTATAGCATCTTAAAAATTACAGAATATGCTGTGTCAAAAATGGCCATAAACAATCTGAAAGGGCAGTCAAATCGAATAAGGCCTGACTACTAAAGTAACATGAATGCAAATTGTTTACCATCAGTGGTGAGGTGAAGCGTCTCCTTCACTTGCCAGCTGTCCATCATGTCCCACAATCGGATGGTCCGATCCCACGAGGAACTGGCAAGGATTGACTGAACTGGACTGAAACACAAGCAGCTAACGGGACCCTCGTGGCCACCTAAAATCTGACCAATCACAGGAAGCGTAGGGATAACATTTGCATCTATACTCATTGAAATTTGACACCTTTTGACATTTCAAAGTAATTCAATATCCTAAATGTCATTTTTTTTACCCCGAATTTTTTTAATGTTTCCTTAAGTGCGCCAAAATGCAGACAAATGAAAATATGTCATTATTTTTGGACAGATGCTACATTAAGGCTGTTCCAGGTCAAATTTGACCCATAAACAAAATCATTATACATTTTAAATGATCTACAGGTGAACATTTGACATCAACAAGTGTTTCGAGGATATTTTGTGTGTGCCTGAAAAATTATGTAAGGTTTAAAGTAAGAGCGTACCT